TCTACATATTCAAACTAGAGAAGTAAGAAAAAATTCATTAAAATTTTATCAAAGCAGAATTAAAGTTTGGATCATTTCAAAGCAGAAAATCGATTAGTACCCCTAACTATATGATATAGTTGCTCTGAGCTGGTACAGAGGTTGCACTCCTTCTAGCCAAAATCAGGCAAAAATTCTGGCATGTAAACAAACGACTTAGATCATAGATATAAACATACGTATAGCTACTTTCGATGGGCTGAAGGAGACAGCAAGGAGTGGATCGTCATTCTCTTTTTAGCCTGCCAAGTGCCAATCACAAACAGCTAAACGTATGTATATATGTTCTAAGCCGTTTGTTTACANAGTTTAGAAGTGTCTTAGAAATTTACGGTTTACTTTTTTTATTGCGTATATGGTGAGGAATATCGAGGATGCTTCTAAGATTAGTTTTTGTGCTGAATCAAATGAAAATTTATTACTATGGAGGACAAATTGGAGGTGCCAAATCGATCCGCCCTGCCGGCCACACCCGCCTCTCTCCTAATAGGTAAATTATTAAATGAGACGTCCACTTACAGGTAAATTTAAATTACAAGTCCGACTTGAACAAAAAGCTTTGCTTCATCACAATCATCATGATGAATCATCAGTCAAATCAAATCGCTCGGGATGTCTGGCAGTTTTAAGACGGTGAAACGTAAGACACGAATCTAAAAGATTCAAGACATTGTTCTGAAAAACATAAGACACCATGTAAACGCAGCCTTAGTCAACGATTTCAGATTGGTGACCTTGAGAAAAAGTGTAACGGAAGTGGATTTTGCTTGATTCTCCCCCTGTGACCCACCCCTCATGACGTGCTTCCGGTTTGCTGTACATCACACCACACTCACTACAGCACTCATTCCGATTTTATTTCTTTTTCTTATAACCAATTTCTTAAGTTCTCAAAGAGATTTAAACCCCCGACTCCTTGCACATGAACCAAGGCCCTTACCTACTCTGCTATGATCGGCTTCAACACTAAAGAATCCATTACTTCATTTTATCATTCAGTTCATAACTTATTTTCAATGTAAATTTTTATTTATTGTGTATTCACTCATTTAGTTTCATTTACTATTTAATAAATAAGGTATTTAATGAAATATATTTTTTTGGTACATGTTTCTTCAAAAATTTGGAACATTCATTTATTCATTATTTATTTTTACTTCTCAAATAAATAAATAATTGTTTATAAAATTTTTTAACATTTTTTCAGAATTATCATTCATGAAAAAAAAAGAATTTCTGTACTGTATAAATACAATAATTGATTTTTATTTTTCCTTTGTGATTGAGGTGATTTTTTGACTTAAGGGAGCTCACTCGTACCTAACTTTTTTGACACATACGATCAGCAGTATTGTAACTTGCATGACTATATATACAGATATAACGTGACATACTAACGGTTACTGTCGAAGGAGAATTATTTTATTCACTAATTTATTGCTTATTTCATAAGCCGTGAACGAAGATGAGACTATAGCTACTGTTCACTGGTTTAAAAATATAATCAATGACAGTCGTACAGTTTAAAGTTTGTAGAGTGCAAGAGGAGGTGTGGGGTACGAGCCGCAATAGTATTCTAAAGCTGAAAATATCATGTCCGTACCTGTCACTTCCGTATCTCTCAGTCGTATAAGTGTCTCTTCTTCTAGCTTTCATTTATCGGAACTTGACTAAACTTTTTTCCCATATTTTTGGGTTGAAACATGAGACACGTGTGTCGGCGTTTACTCTAATTGGTCATTTTTTGCGAGATACATCGAAGAATGTCAATTCCACTTCCGACACTAGTAGCGAAGCTGTACATTATTTTAGGTGGTCCAAAAAAGGCTTAGATAACTGTTAAAATAAAGCTCTATTGATTAAAAAAAAAATTTGTCGAATTTGGTGCCAGCAATTATAAGTTATAAGGATTTTCTTTTAAATTAAGGATTTCCGGCTAAAATCTCCGAAATCTCATTTTCCGCAATTTTCGTCGCTCCTCTTTAAACAGCTATTACTTACTTTTAAACTTATACATATGTTGGAACACCTTGCCACTTAAGCTGACACTCTTTGCACCAATGGTGCATCGGGTCCACTCGCCACTGTGAAGCCTTTCTCCAGAGAAGACTCCATATTTCAGAACGTCCACTCCTCGCCATTTAAGCCGGTGCTCTTTGCCAAAGTATCTGATCCAGGCTAATTAGCGTCCTCGGAGAAGCCCTATGTTTCATGGACCACTCCTCGCCGGTAAGGCTGGCGATCCCTGCCCGACGCATGGCATCAGATCCGCTAATCCCTCCCTATAGCCGTAACACTGTTTCGTACTCACCCAGGCCCGAAAACCTGTGGGGCAAGAAAAAAAACCTTTGAATTACTCTGTAGGAAAATTCCACAGAAAAACCCGCCCCGAAACAGCCGAGGTTACATAAAAACTTTTCTCGATGAAAACAGTTTAAAAAAAAATCTACATTCACCGGGAATCGAACCCACGACACCTAGAATCGCGTTGTATCAGTAACAATCACGTTTACTACTGAGCCAACACCGCTTCTCATATATATGTAATTAAATATTATATATTTTATGCATGTAGTTTATACACATATTTATATAAAAGAATACGAGTGAGCACATATTACATAAATATATTTGTAATAGTTGAGTCTTCCTCGCCCTTCATATTATATATATAAGTTGATTTCGTTGATCTTCTGGGGCAAATGAAAACAATTAGTTTAAGAAACGTTTTGTCGACTGGTGTGTCGACCTCTTCAGGCTTTATTAACATATACTACACACCAGTCGATGAAACGTTGCTTAAATTAATTGTTTTCATTTGCCCCAGAAGATCAACGAAATAAACTTATTTATAGATGTATTTGTGTTGAAAAAAATTTTCAAATTTTTTTGATTTCAAGAATCGAACCCTCAAACTTCGGGTTGGTAGTTAGGGACCTTATCTATTATGCTACGCATCATGCAGACCTGATTTCTGTTCTTATTACTTACGGATACCAACCGAGAAACTTCTGAATTAGAAAATTGATTGATAATCTGGCGTTTTTTGTACCATATGTAATTCAGCCCACCAATGGCGAATAAAATAGTTGTAATTATTCCTAAGTGGACGAAAAAATTTAAATCGTGTTTAAAAGTTCATTTTGCTTAAATCTGATGACTGTTTAAGATGCAAAAAAAACACCAGCGTGTAGAGCGAAAAATTTTTTCAATAAGTACTTTTTTTTGTTTCGACAAGCGCAAAATTTTAAGGGATGAATGAAAAATGCATTTTGGCAGGACCTGACAGAGTGAGATAGAATGAGCCATTTATCGTCTCCTGTCGTTCTCTGTCTCTCTCTCTCTCTCTCTCTCTCTCTCTCTCTCTCTCTCTCTATCATTATTATCTCTATTGTACTCATACAGGTGTACCTTGGGCCTTTGCATTGCTTTTGCCAATATTTTGCACTTGTAGAAAACGATGAATTATTGTTAAAATTACCATTATTTTTTCGTCATTTTTTAAAAATTGATTCTTCGTGATCATAATTATTTTAAAATATAAAAATTTCACCATAATTCAAAGTTGTTCCAAGATTTTCTAATTCTGTTCACTCAATTCCTGTATGTTACCCCGTTTTTAGTAAAGAACCAACGAAGCTTGTGCACGTGCACAACTACGTACAGGTATGCGAAAAGAGACAGAGAGGAGAGAGACAGAAAAAGTAATACACATGAACGTGCTCCTAAACATATGTATGTACCTGTGTGTCGGTAGGTAGCTTAAATACTCTTTGCCGTATATTGTTGTTCTTGATCGTTCTCTTTGTTAATATGTTTATGAATAAAAAAAATTTGAACATAATTTTTGATTTGCTATTTCCTTACCTATAATATTCACTGATGAAATTCCATATTCGCAAATAAACTGTCTTTTCAATATGAAATTAAAATTATGTACGGTAAAAAAAATAAATACTTTTTTATAAATTAAATATTATCGATATCAATCACGTATNCGTATAATATTTACTGATAAAAACACATAATCATAAACAAACTGTCTTTTTAATATGAAATTAAAATTATTTAGGGTAAAAAAAATAAATATTTTTTTATCATAGACAATTAAATATTATCGATATCAATCACGTATTCTTTGATGTTTCACATCTGTCGGGGGTCTCGAGACCCATACCTCGTTTTTTTAATGGATAGGATTTAATCCTAGCTCAAATTTAGTTTTGGTTAGAACACTTGAACTATGCAAACAGCTTAACTACACGTATCAGAAGCAGGTGTATTTTTTTTCGAAACTTGACTGAAATTGACTTATGAGAAATATCATAAATCTTTTGACCCTGAAACTTTGTAGTAGAATCGTTTTGAACATTTGTTATGCGTGGTATTTGAGGCAAAACTACTGTAAAAATTAATCTTTCCGCCCAGCTTCTTTTAAAACGATTCTTCGAAGCATTTTGAGCCACTTACGGCAGATTCACCTGTATTTGAAGTGGTGACTGACAACACTCCAATTTCCAGTGTAATTTAGTGTATCCTTTACTGAAAAAAACCAAGTGATATTACCACACAGTAAAAGTACGTGATCGTACCACATGGTTTTTCGTCATTTATCACATGGTTTTGTCTCAAATAACCACATATCTTTAAAAAACCATATGGTTATTTGAGACAAAACCATGTGGTAAAAACTATATGGTAAAAGCACGTATTTTATTGACCATTTTGGTAAAATCACAAAGTTTTTTTTAATAGAGTTGTTTGATTAGCAGAAACTATTGTTATTATATTAGCTACTCTACTATGTTCTCGTTTTTTTTAAACTCCAGACAAACTCTTCAAATTAAATAGTATTTTGGGTTAAACTAAATTTGACTATATTTTCATGATTTTGAATAAATTTTAAGTACTCTATAAAGACTTTTCGATTTTTCATTGAATTAAATTTTTTTTTTTTTCAGTCAAAAATGGCAGATAATGAACACAAAGCTGTACAGTTAATTGCTGAAGCTGAAAAAAAGTTAACATCAACCAAAGGTTTCTTTAATTCACTATTTGGGTAAGATTTTTCCATTAACTGAATCGTATAGATAATATCTCTTAGTGTTCCACGTAAAATGCAAAGCAATGCTTTAGTAGGAATGTATAATTTATAAGTATGCATACTACTATCAGTGGTTAGTTTCATTCTAAGCTTCTCAATGACTATTTTACTAATATGTAAAGCAAAGTCGCTAAAACCTTTGTAATCGCTATCCGCGAAAACTACTCAACCGATTTTGATGAAATTTTGCACACCGAGTCTTGACACTTTTTGGATGGTCTTAGCATGGTTTTTATCTTAAGAAAATCAATAACAAAAGCAACAAATTAGCTAAAAGTTTTTCATTAATACGCTAGATTTGCGCATTAGTTCAATTGAATCTGCTAGGTGGTGTCGAAGTAAAATTGAAACAACCTGCAACTGAATTAAATAAGAGTGGTTATAATAGGCCTGAGCAACGTACCAAATATACAGTCGTTCCCAGTCAATGCATGAAGCCTAGAGCTGAAAGGCGTGCAGCTGGGTATTCCAGCTACCGACGACACTGTACTCTAAGAAACAAGTGATTTAGGTGAAACTCTATCCTAAACCACCGTGATTGACGAGTGGATACCAATACTAAGACGTTAAAAATTCTAACATCTCTGGCGAAATAGAAGGAGACGTCCAGCCAGAGTACACTTTGCTCTAGCAATTTGGGGTTTTATGGCCATTCTTCTAACCGACCTGGTACTGTTATCAACCTATATCAAGCTAGCACAACCAAGTCAGCACGCCACAACGGTACTTAATGAATAATTTGCCGCTAAATTTGTGACATTAAAACTAAATTTGCCGCTCCACCAGGAATATAGAAAATCAAAGGCGTGCCAGCTTGATATCAAGCCAGCACCGCCACTGGTATTACCTCGGGATCCTGAAAACTTGGGAATACAATTCCTACGGGACAATTTGCCGCTAATTTGCTGCTGAACCGTTAGCTAACTGCCGATTTTACTGCTGCACCCAGAAGCCGGGAAATCGGTTGCATGTCAGCTTGATATCAAGATAGCATCGCCACTGATGTTATTTCGGGATCCTAATGATTTGGAAATACAATTCCTACGGGACAATTTGCCGCTAATTTGCTGCTGAACCGTTAGCTAACTGCCGATTTTACCGCTGCACCCAGAAGCCGGGAAATCGGTTGTATGTCAGCTTGATATCAAGATAGCATTGCCACTGATGTTATTTCGGGATCCTAACGATTCAGGAACACAATTTCAAGGGGATGATTTGCCGCTAATTTGTGACATTAAAACTAAAATTTGCCGCTCCACCAGGAATATAGAAAATCAAAAGCGTGTCAGTTTAATATCAAGCTAGCACCGCCACTGGTGTTATTTCGGGATCCTGACAACTTATGGACATAATTCTAACGGGATAATTTGCCGCTAATTTGCCGCTGAACTGTTAGCTAACTGCCAATTTTACGGTTGCACCGAGAAGCCGGGAAATCGGTTGCGTGTCAGCTTGATATTAAGATAGCACTGTTGTTATTTCGGCTTCCTCACAATTTAGGGACATAATTCTTACAGGACAGTTTGCTGCTAATTTGCCGCTAGTCCAATAATTGTTAATATTTTGATCTGTAATGTTTTTTACCTTGATTCTACTAGAGCTAAACTTTAGAAACAATTTATTTTATTAGTATGTTGATTTTATGACTGTAATTGATCTTAAATTTTTAGATTATTTGTGATATTGATACTGATTGTTTTACTACACGAAAGAGTTAGTGAAAATGTTGTGTGCTAGATAAACATTAATTTTTGTATTTTTGTGTAACGAATTTGACAGCTAAAGTATTTGTTAAAATTTTAACTACGTTTTTAGAGCTTGGTAGATTAGTCCCTTTGTTAGCTTGTGGTAGACTGTGTAATAATAGCAAGTTCCAAGAATATTTTTGTTGTTGTTTTGAAAAGTCATGTTTTAATTAATTATTCTACGCTTTACTGTTAATGGTAAAGACTTACTCTCTTGACACCTGTCTTCTCAATCTTCTTACACCTAAATACATGAACACTGTCGGCTCCTTATCATCAAACGAACTCGACTGAGTCCTCACTACGCACGTCCTATTATTACCCAAAATTATTCTTTGCACAGTCAACATACAGGCAGACACAGAATATAGACCATTCCTTCTTACGATGAACTTTTATGAGAAATCAGATACGAGCAAGTCGCGAGTATACTTCTCAGGTGGAAGTTGTTATTTTCTTGTGTGACTCGAGCGGAAAAATACTAGGATAATAACAAATGGCACATCTTGCTAAAAACTTACTAAGACACTCTCTGACCAGGAGACGTTGGAGCAGCTTACCTCGCAACTTACCTTACCAACCTCGAACAGGCGGGCTTAAACAACCACATAAAAAAAATAAGAACATCTCGATACCCCTCTTCCCTTTGATTTTATTGTTGCTTTCCGTAGTAAAAATTATTTTGAAAGTTTTGAATAACCAAGGGACGGTGCGCTGAAAGTAAAAACGAATTGATTAGCTATCACTTTGCTTTTATATGAAAAAAGAATCAAAATTGTTGTAAGAATCTGTTTAAATGAAAGACCCGAAGTCTAAAAAATTGTATATTTGCATGAAAAAAGCCCCCGCATATTTAAATTGTTGAACTTGGTCGCTTCAACTCGAACGTCTTGCATTGTATTATACGGGCGATCAGTGCATTGCAGAAATTTTAAAAACTTCTTTTACCACAGCTAGCCAGTGCTATATGCTTGTTAAATCGCAAAGTAAAGATTTTCTAAATAAGAACTGAGAGTCTGTAAGACTTGCTCTAAGTGGCGTCTTAACGTCTTAAGACATTCAGCCGAATCATGGGTGGGCGATTCCAATTATAATTCAGGTGTTTTTTGGCCAATCTAAAATGAAGCAGTCTTAATTCTGAGCTATTTGTTAGAAATTTTCAATAACTATTACATAATTTTTTAAGAATTTATAAACCATAAGAAAAAACTTAAGTAAACGTATATATCAGTCTTTATTATATATTAGACGAACGACTACTGCCTTTTACGTATGTAGACTTTGCTTTACTTGAAGTGCTTTTTAAATCGTCACAATCCATTCTGATTTGCTCGACGATAGGCGTAAGATTTATAGTGCCCATCAGTTTCTCCCGAATGATAAAATATTTTCAATTCAAACCTTGTAAATAACTATTCCTAATGCGATTAACTTTTCCCTCTCCAAGTAAAACACTAAACAATGCAGCGTAAGTTTAATGAAAAACATGTAAAATGTTATCTTATAGAGTGCCTGCTCTCGCATTTTTAATCGCACACAGTTGACACAAACGAACCTGTTTTAAACTATCTTATGATGTCTATTTTGTATATTAAACCTTGAGCTTCAACATACTCTTTTTTAAATTTTCTCTAGGAGGCCTGGAAAAAAAGTTATTTGAAAAATAATAACGTGCTCTATATGGGAAATGACTAGCATCTTAGGGTGGGGCGCTACTAGCACGGGAGTTCTCTATATTATCGGTGAGCTCCGACCGTAAACAAATTTTCTAACCTTATCCAGACATGTAAACATTGTGATACACAGTGATATAAAAGGCGCTTTAGTTTTTAAGGTGTTTATTGTTTAAGCAAATTTTACAAATAGTGCGTCACTACAAAAAAAAAAACTAACCGAGAAAACTGGGATGAGAACCAAATGTCATTCAAAAATCAAAACTATAATTCTAAAGTTACAACTTCAATGTAATTTAAAATGTTTGTAAAATGTATACATGTATACATGCTCTCGTAATTTTTTTATTTTAATTTTACGTGCACTCAATAAAAAAAACTTCTTTTTCATAATTCATTTTACCAGTTACCCTCACAAATCATTATGATTTATCAAGCTAGTGGTACCCCACCCCCTGCTAGAAGTACCTCACTATGGGGCACTACTAGCAGTTTTCAGAGGTTTGGTTTGTGCCGTTCTTAAACAAAAAGTTTTATTATTGTTATAAAATTTACTTGTGTTGTGATAGCTACATTCTTTTTTCCTTAAAAATCGATTTTTTCGGTTAATCTTACTTCAAAATTAAAGCTGTAATTACCTGTTGAAGCAAAAGTGTCATTCCCTGTTCTCCCCTATCTCACAACTCTTGCAAGTAGAAGCTCTTCGTTGTTTTTACAAGGATTATCAAGCTTGATATAAAAATCTTTAAGTGATACTTTATAATTTTTATCATTTTCATTATTAACATCAAAAATAAACACATCACCTAAAATAAATGTTTTTAGTTGTAACACGTCATCTTATAAGTATTGCAAGATTTAATATCACCTTGTTGCTTTGCTCTCTAAACTCCGATCTTTAAATATACATACATGGGTGCATCAAAGCCAAGCAGAACACGCAACGCACATGCGTCTTTTTTGCACTAAAACCATTCTTTTCAACTCGTTCAAATAAGACGGATAGTTCATAGAAAATCAATACTTGGTACAAGGCTTCCTCATATGTAATACCTCAATTTTCCCTATAATGATATTCGAGAAAAAATATAAATTTTGTACGACATAAATAAAAGTTTAACGAAAGAGATTATTCGACCGATTTTCCTTATCTATCTTTGAGAAAAGGAAAAAATTATAGCAAGTTCCATCGAAATTAAACGAAAGAATTCAGATATATGACAGAGTATACAAATAGGCTCTTACACACCCACTAACACAGGATATATTTTTGTTTATGGTTATCAAAAAAATATTATTGGTAGTTAACACTGTTTAATTTCTGGTTTTTTTACTCAAAACACTGTAAAACAAATGACAAAAAAAAAAAAAATTTTTATGTAAATAGATTTTTGAATTGTTTTTTTAAATTTACTATTTACAGGCTTCTGCAATAATATGATAACATGCCTAGAGTCATGACTGCTGATTTAAATAGTTCTGTCAAATCTTCTATGCAACTTATTATTTCAGCTTATTACAGTAGGCACTAATGACT